GTCCCCTATGCCCGGAGGAAGAAGAGAGAAAGAGAGAGGGAGAGAGAGAGACGTAGGTGACTAGGGTCCTTGTGATGAGTCAGGCTTGAGGGCTCTGTTCTTTGGTGTTGTGGCCCCGACCTTTGCCCACCTCTCCTTTCGAAGGCAAGTAGTATGGACGGCATGTCTGATGGAAGCTGCCTCGGGAAACTTGTAGGCTCCTAGCCTTGGTGGAGCGTAATCCGCTTTTCGCAGTTCGGGGAGTTTCCCGCAGACCGCAAGTGTGCATCTCCTGAGGCGAAATTAGCCTTTGTGGAATGAGCCTTATTTCAGGAAACGCCCTCTGCAATGGTCAGGGGCGCCGACCGGCGCGCGGGCTAGGGGGGCAACCCTCTAGCCCATAGCCCTGATGAAAGAAAGAGAGATACGTAGAAGAAGGGAGATAGAGCTGACTTCCCCCGAAAGCCCCAAAGTATTGAGGGGTTGTATGGGCCGGGGGGGCCTGACCTGCCCCGTTGACCCGAAGGAAGAAGAAGAGGAGACAGAGACACAGAGAGAGAGAGCGAGAGTCTGTGCTGTAGCACAGACGCCAAAACGGAGCCAGAAGAGGCCTGGAGAGGGGGTAGTTTGGGGCTTGCCGGTTCAGTTTTCTCCGTAGCCAGTGCTTACAGTAGACCAAGCAACCAGTGCACGCTCGCGTCCGGAGGGGCGGACTACTCCTTCTGTCTGTGTGGAAGAAGAGAGCGAGAGAAAGCGCCTAGCAATCCAGCGCGAGAAAGCGAGAAAGAGTGAGCGAGAGAGCGAGCTCTTAAGCCCACAGAAACAAAGAGCGCCTGCAGGAAATGGGCCCATGCATTGCGAGCAAGATATCAACCACTTTTGGACCGGCTGGATCTGATAAGTTTGGCTCGTAAGAGGCCCCTGCCCGCCGGACCACTGCCTTTGGCGGGCAAGAGGGAAGACATCTACTTCCCTACAGGCAGGGCGCGGGATGCAGGGCGATGATGGGTCTTCGAGTAATGGTTCGCAGAGGATGGTCCAGTGCCTTTCCAAGCAGAAGGCAAGCCTGCTTCGTGGAGTGCGAAGTTATGTCCGTCGCCAGGAGAATCGCTGGGCTTGAAGTTGCGTGCCTCGGCAACTATCATCCGGCTGTGCTGCTGGATCTTCTTGCAGGCTGTCAGCGATGTTGCCCGGTGCTAAGGCAACGGTGCTGGAGCCCTGGAGGCGGGTGTGCCGTAAGTGGGCTACTCAGCCCTCTCTATCACCTGACGACAGTGACGGTTCATCCGGAGACATTTACGAACCTTCGGGCTGAAGCTAGCTGCCTTTGTCCGACGGTAGCAGTAGCGTCCCACAGCTCAGATAGGTAGAGTTCTGCCTTGCATCAACTGAATTGGAGGCGAAGCGTCGACTGCGCCGAAGTAAGGCTTTCGCGTGCAAGCTTTCCATGTCGGTAGATGAGCTCTCATTAATGGGTATAAGGATGTGTCTGCCGCGTGGTTATGTGAGGATTTGTCATCTCTTCGGTGGGAATGAATCTCGGTGTCGTGTTGTCAACAGCGTCACATAATGACATAGTATTCCCCGTATAGTACATGTGAAGTTGAGCCGTGCAGAAGTGAAGTGTTTTGGCTGCGGTTTGCTTTGGCGATGCATGAACCGTCCTAATTGAACAGCTCGACTACGACAACAACTCTTCCTGGCGCGGCAAGGAGGGCGTGGAGCTTTGGGTCAAGACTCTGCACGAAGGTGGGCCGCGAGACTTGCAGGCATCAGATTTGTGGGTTTGCTGTATGTCTTGCTAACAGTTCAAGTCGCTGCATGGCACGACGTGGACGTCTGTGGCAGGTTGTACAGCTGCCTCATCGCATGGCCCGCGCCTAGAGCTCGATGCCGCAAAGGAGCTGCCTAGCTGAATTCGGAGAAGGCAGGTCGCAGGTCGCAGAATGATCTGAGAGTGTCTGCTCACGGCTCATGTCCTGAGTCTAAGAAGTAAACAGCGCCTTCTGCTAGCCATCTTGTTGTGAGAAATAGTGAGCTGCTTCAGGCTGGAGTTGGCACCAGAGGCTCTCTGTACACGTCTTGGGCGTCCGCCGTCTGCGATCTTGAGCTCGAGCTGTCAGGAAGTCGAGACTCTCGGAAGTGCGGAGCTGCCGATGTTGGTTCGGTGCCGCAAGAGGCGCAGGATCACGGACTTCGGTGAGGAGGTGCACGAAGCGCCAGAGCTTCCGGCAGAGGTGTTTTGACACCGCGCAGGTTGACTGCGTTTTCATCGCCGAAACGGGTCTGCTTCTTGTCCTGCATTTACTGACACCGTGAAGGGGGGGTGTTGCCACGTGGTAGACATTCTCGTCTTGAGGTCCGTGGTGCTTGCAGAAAGATACCGGAGCATCTCTGTGGAGTCACCGCGACTGGAGGAGCACCCTTTGAGGCAGCTGCGAAACAAAGCGCCACTGCAGCTAGTTCGAATACTAGTCCTTGAAGAGGGGTGGGGTTCCGAGAGCGATCTGTTCTGTGCTTTGCGGGCCTGTCTGTCGAGTTGGAGGACATCGGCCCCATTGTGCAGCAGCTGGGGCCGGTTCCGGCCTCTAGACGGAAAAACGACTGTCTCTCGACTGCCTCGCTTTCCCTCGTATTCCTGCCGCCTCACAGCAGCCTTCGAGAGCAGCCTTCGAGAGAACAAGGCAAGGAGAGAGATGCACGCGAAGCAGGACACCAACAGAAACAGACCGGAGAAGCCAATAACCGCTGGCAGCCAGAAGATGAGTGCTGTGACTAAGGAAGGAGCCATTGTGGCCGGCTATCCTGCCATCATTCAGGTGTTTGTAGCTGTGTCTTGTTGATTGGAAGAAGGCACTTGCGCACTTAGTCTAGAAGAGTGCAGCTCGCATTGTCCGCATGTTGGCGGAGCTCTCTGCGATACTACGTAGGCAGTGAAGCATTGCCGAAGCAGCTTGAGCTCGTGTGAGTCTTGTCCATCTAGAGCAGTGTCCAAGTAATTCTGTGAACCTTTTGAGTCGTGGATTCTGTGAGCAGGCTGTTGCGGACCGTGCACGTGCAGCGCTGCGCGGTGAGAGAGAAGCGCAAAGCTCGCCGACAGCACCTGAAACAGGACCTGGAAATGCTGGAGATGCATAGAATTGGAAAGCTGTTTATGGGCGCGATGGGGGCGCAGGGCTTCCAAGCCCAATATGTGCTCAACCATTCAATCTCCTGGTCAACACGGTTTCAGCTTGACACTGTCGTTCTCGTTGCAATTCAAGAGCTTTGGGTGTTGTTGCATAAAGTCATAAAGTTGGGAGGGCCATGGTTTATTTCACTGTGCTGGCGATTCTTGCAAGCGCTGATGCATGGCTGCTTTGGACCGTGTTCGTGCACGTTGTTGAGACTTAGTTGTCAGGCATAAATGCTTCATAAACCACGACCTTGTCGCCAGCCTTGCCCAACCAGGCGTTTCAATCGACTTGGAGGACCCAAGAAGCTAACAGAGGCGAATCCCAGTTCCAGCGGGAAAAGTCACAGCGACACATTCGCTATCTTACTGCTCGTTTCCGGGCTGTGTTTTCCTCGGAAGCCTGTCATATCGTCTTGACTAGAAAGCTCAGGCAACCTCCGGCAAGGACGTGCCCAAAGTAAAGGCCGATCTAGCAATCCATCAGTTAAAATATGAACTTCCAATCTAATCTGATCGAATCGAGCCAAATCTAATCATCTGATCTATCCTTTCCGCTAACTCAATGTGCTCTATCTGTTCTTTCTATTCTTCTGTTCGATTCATTCTATCTATCGTATCAATCAGGTCTTTCAGATCTTTCTCATCTATCTTATCTGTCCGATCTTTTTGTACACCTGCCTGTCTGTCGGCGTTGTCGGTCTGTCAGTCTGTCTGTCGGTCGGTCTGTCTGTCTCTGTTTCTGTTTCTGTTTCTCTGTCTGTCTGTCTGTCTGTTTCTGTCTGTCTGTTTCTGTCTGTCTGTTTCTGTCTGTCTGTTTCTGTCTGTCTGTCTGTCTGTCTGTCTGTCTGTCTGTCTGTCTGTCTCCGTCTGTGTCTGTCTGTGTCTATCTGTGTCTATCTGTGTCTGTCTGTGTCTGTCTATGTCCGTCTATGTCTGTCTATGTCTGTCTGTGTCTGTCTGTGTCTGTCTCTGTCTCTGTCTCTGTCTCGTTCTCTGTCTCTGTCTGTTCTCTGTCTCTGTCTCTGTCTGCCTGTCTGCCTGTCTGCCTGTCTGCCTGTCTGCCAGTCTGTGTCTGTCTGTCTCTGTCTCTGTCTCTGTCTCTGCCTCTGCCTCTGCCTCTGCCTCTGCCTCTGTCTCTGTCTCTGTCTGTCTCTGTCTGCCTGTCTGCCTGTCTGCCTGTCTGCCTGTCTGCCTGTCTGCCTGTCTGCCTGTCTGCCTGTCTGCCTGTCTGCCTGCCTGCCTGCCTGCCTGTCTGTCTGTCTGTCTGTCTGTGCGCGTG